CCCCCACCCCCAACCCAACCCAACAAAAGAACACACATAAAAAGCAAAATCCACATACCAAGAGATATAAAAGCAAACACATGACAATATAATCTATAACTAAGATGACATAAAATAATCAACCATCAGAATAAAGCTCATCTTTTGGGCATAGTTAAATTTAAACTCTGCTTAATTAATTTTTCCAATTAATTACATCTTAATCGCTGAAGTATTTCCAACATTATCTTATCCTGAATTAAATGCATATTTTATGAAATTAGTATTAGGTATGCTCTCCAATCCATGTATTAAAAGACACTACGGAAGGAAACAGAAAAACTAACTACATATGAAATATTATAAAATGCAAATGGGCAGAAGCAAATTTTTCTACTTTATTAACAGCCATGAATTTCTGCTACTTTGGCAACAACACAGGGATAAATAAATCTTTTTAACAATATAGTATCATAAATATTCAAGAAATTACAGATTATCTGGGATATCACTGTTTTAGGAAAAAATTAATGCAGCACCTGATCTTAAAGATGTTCAATATCTATCTTTAAATAATTTTAGCTAGAAGAATGAGTACACTTAGTTCTCCTAAGAATCAAAAGGTTAATATTTTATTCTGAGATATACATTTATCCCATTAATGAATCATTAATTAGGCTAATCTAGACCATTTTAATTTGCATGGACATCTTATAATAGGTAGTGCAATGATCTACATTCAGATCTGCCTGACTTGTAGCTGACCTCAAAAATGCATCAATTATTCCCACCAGTGTGTTCAATTTCTGAAAGGGAAAAAATAATTAACGAGTTTTGCAACACCTATAGGTATAGAATTTATATACATTTATATTTAAGAATTAAAACTGTCATAAACCTTTTCAAAAAGCTGCACCAAATAAACCTCAACAAGTTGCCTTTACTAAAGGGAACCAGGCAATAAAAAGATGCATGGTATGAAAGACAAAAATGAAAAGAACTCAGACATTTAGAATCAACAAGGTATCTTGTGAAATTTTCCAATTCTTCTCACTTGCTAAAACATGTTACAAGGTATTAAGAAACACTGTATTCCTTAATAGAGAAAAATGTAGACTTACATAATAATGCCACAACTTGGAACAAAATAACATGAGGGCAAGTATGGCAATCAAATATAATGAACTGTTGTGTCAAGCTTAGACAAAATTACCTAATTTAGGTAATTCCTAAATCTAAATGCTTACAAACAAGTAATTTAAGTAGGTCAACACCAACATTCTTCAGCTTTCCAATATTGAGAACACTTTGCTTGCATAACGGAAAAGGCTAAAACTCCTAAGTTCTTACACCCTACATTTCTAATTGTCTTTCAAAAATAGATCACGGGCAGCCAAAATTCTGATTTGTGCTTGGAAGTCCACTTTGTATAACATAAACTTTCCGCTTCTTTATGGGACAAGGCAGCACCAAGAAAGATTATATGTACCCATTTCTCCCAGCATTTCCTTCATACTGAAAAATGAACTCCATAGGAAGTTTAAGTAACAATTAAAGCTTCTATAAAGATTTTAACAGAACTAAACTTTACCATGTATTGTGATATTAATCAAGTTCTACTTTAAACATTATACTCCTATACCAGAATTAAAACTAGCCACATTTAAGGAATCCTTTACTATATGAAGAGATAAATTTTTCTTCTGCAGGAAAACTAATCTGAACTAAAAATTGTCTTTATAGCGTGTAGTTAAATTCAGGATTAGAACTGAAGACCTTTAACACACATTCACAAACATACATGTTAATGGTATCCTGACTTGCTTCTTCAAGCAAAACTGCATTTTTAATGCCTCTGAACAAATACAAAGCAGCAAGTGACAACACAGGCCTGAATGGAAAGACTATAAAAAGGCAGTCCCTTGAAACAACAGAGTTCTATATTGAAATTATATCTCCCCCATACACCATGATTACAGATTAGCAGAGAAGTAGTTCACCTTAAAGGAGATGGGGGGGAAAGACTCCTCCAATTAAAGAATTAAAGTCTGTGCAATCCTTTTCCAAACAAAAATTTCATTTAAGCCCTGAATTCACAGGGCAAAACAGTAAATCTTTAAATTACAATTAAATTTACTGGAAAGGCACATGTGTGTATAGGCATCTAGTAATTCTTCTACATTTATCTGATGGTAGTTCAGAATAACACAAAAGGAGACTTTTTTTTAAATTCACCTAAAAGGAAAACTTTAAAGCCAGTTACATCATCAGCTGAATATTAAAAAAAAACAACCCTAAAATATTTTTTCTCTGACTGAAACAAACAAACAAAAGGTTACCTACTCCAGAATACAAAACAAAGGTTTAGATTTGTTTTAAATGATGAGTAATGAAAGACTGGGAATTAGAAAAGTTAACTCTTCTCATGATGTTTAAGCAGAGAAACTTTAAGTTTTTCCCCTGATGTGCTTCACTGGACTAGAAGTGTTGCAAAAGAGAGTAAACACACTTTGAAATATTTCTTGAAGGTAGACTGAAAAAAAGGACTTACCTTTTTAAAAACTTTTCCTGAAGGCTGGATTTCATCTTCCTCTTTTAGGATTTCACGTGTTCCCAAGAGTTTTTTGTCCTTAAATTTTGTTTTAGCATATTTAAAAACTTTGTCGAGTGTATCACATCCAGGATATAAAACTGAAGCTAAGCAATGTAGACTGTTAACAGATCTGTATGCACCCCCAGGCTTGTTATTCACAGGTTTAGCTTTAACCTGCTTGGCTTTTGCTATAGCCTGCCTTGATCCTGAAAATATGTACCATGGAATGTATGTTACAAAGGAGTACACCAAGATTATAAAGTTTATAAAGTGTAAAAGAAGAGGGTTGATGTTATGCTTCAACTTCATTTTGGCTGCTTGCAAAGGTTCGGAAGGGTTCGGAAACACAGATCAGTTAGGGATCCAAAAAGATCTGAAAAGAGAAAACAAAAGCTTAGTGGTTAACTCTAGAGCTGTTGGCAGGTGGGTAATTTTCAGACATATTATTACAATCCATATCCCAGTAGGTCTTTTTATGCAGGAATTAGGCTAGAAGTCTTAACTCCTAACACAAATAAAACAAGACAGCAATCCACAAGAAAAAATTCATCCGTTCCCATTTAACAGACTGCAGTACTTACTAATATTTTTATTTCTTTGGACACTACACAAACACAGGATCTAGAGGAATTCAGGGCTTGTATTTTTAATTAAATGACATGTGAATGGCATGGACTTATCTGAAAATGCTATGTGATTATACAGTTTACAGCATTCTCTCCAACCACATCAGAATACCTACATGTGCATCTTCACGACCTTTGACCTTAAATCTTCAACCTCCATGAGAGCCTTAACAATTCAAGTAATGCCACTGCTCTGTACATGGAAACCCCGACCACTAAGTATGTTGAAATGCTTTCCAAACATTATACAGTCTGGGAGACCTACATAAGACAAAGTAACTAACCTTCCTCCCTCAAGTCCCTGTATGCAGCAAAACTTTGCTGGCTCTTTTATTCATAAGGACTTTCCATCAGTCCTACAATTTCAGCCTCAGTACTAGTATGCAGTGGGCACACTTCTTATAGAAATAAATATGACAATAAGTAATATCTGGTAAATTTTGGAAAATGGCTTAGAAATATCCCCCAAATCCTACCTATGGCACTATGAAAAGATGTGTACCTTTTTCCAGGATCCCTAACAATGCCAGGGTATTAACTGTGACTTTTTTAAAAACATTATTTATCATATCTGAAGAACACAATGATGCAACTTTGTAATATTCTACCGGAGACAAATTATGCCATCTATCTTAAAGATTAAAAAAAATCCAACAGAATAATTAAAATTGTTATGGAAAACAGGGACACATCATAACAGCTGAAGATTAATTTCTGTCACAGTGAATAAGCTACCAGTTACAAAAATCAGTGTTTTGAACATAAAAGCAAAATGAACTATAAATACACTTCATTCAGTTAACTTTTCAAATGTATTGCTATAACTGTACTAAAAGCAATACTATAAATCAACTAAAAGATGTGTATAGAAGATGCACAACTTTGGTAATTCTTTCTAAATTAAGTTTGCATTCATAAGATACAGTGCCAATACCCTATTATTTTTTTCTGATATCTTACATTCATTGACTCTGAAAAGCCTAATGAAAAAAATTTTAGTTGAAAAAGTAACATTTAAATCATGTAAGATCTTTCAATAGTAATGGAAGGAAACCCTCCTCCATGAATCTTAGATTTGTAGATGCTTTTGGGAACAGATCAACCCAATATCCTTCATTTGTTAGATGAGATTAATTCCATCTTTCTCTAAACTGTACAATTTCTCAAAACTCCAAGCAAAAAGATTTCACCATCAGCTTTTTCCCTAACAAGTTGCTACAACCTCATTGTTAACAGTGCATAGTGCATCATTACAGGCAGTTTGAAGGAACCAAGTAACATCAGGATCTATTCTGGAAAGCACCCAGACACATATTCAAATAAAGCACAGAAGCTCTTCAAAGTAGGGACTTACTGAATCAAGCTGCAGAGGAAGAAAGGGACTTAAAAACCTAAAAAAAATATGGAAGTATTATAGTTTAATATTCAGATCAAAGGCAAAAAGTGATGATAAATAAAAAATTAAATAGGCTAAAGGGTAAATTCAGTAATAATTTGAAGAGACTTATGTTCTTAGACTGCCACTGAAGGATACTTAAAGGAAATAATCATGTGTCAGCCAATAAGCTACTGCAGTCCAGAAAAATTATGCTGTGCTTGACAGCAGCATAGAACATGATATTTTAAAGCTGAATCCAGAGTTCACACAACAAAAGTTCACCCATTTTTCTAGAAGTTATTCATTGTTCTGTAATTTTGTCTGGCCCAATTCTGGGAAGAGGCACATTTTTTTTCTCCTTTTAAAGGTGGAGAACTTCTCTACGCCTACTAAGCAGAAACAGGATTTAACCAAACACTGTTACAAGCAAAAATTAAGGCAACTGATTTAATACTTTTTGGAAAACTGTTCTCAAAAAAAAATGCCCTGTCTGACAAACAGTTGAGCCTGTTCAAAAATATTCTCTCTGGGTTTCACAACTTTTCTTGGTTAGAAAGGCACTGAGCCCTTCTGGAATAGCAGCTGATTTTGCAGTTACCCAACAGCTTTATTCCTTCCTCAGGAGAGAGGAATCTTTTCCACTGTTTCTAAAACAACCACACCAAGGTGTCATGTCAAGCCCTCTCTCCTGTCTTACCTGAAGCCTTGCACAAAATCCCAAAACTGGAAACGTCTGCTTTAAATTGCAAATCATAAATTGTACTATGCCCACCATTTCATAACAGCTGCATCTCAAGAAAGGGTCTAAGGAACACTCCAAGAGGATAGCCTAAGGAGAAATATTCTGGAACATCACCCTAGTTCTGAAAAGTAAGCATTCAGCTCTAGAACTCTGATGTACATCTGTTACCCTGAGTAAGTTGCTCATTTTTTTAGTTTCTTTCTGTCATCCATTTTGAATAGTTTCTTTTAAAAATTAACTCTTACAAAACATATTTTTTCACTTAAAATGTAATTTTAAGGATAAAGTATCTTTTGCAAACACAGTTTCTTGCCTTGAAGGCCAAGTAAGACTCCATTTTTCTTTCTTTAAAATCTTACAAGTAGGAGATAGGAAACTTTAATGAGAATGCTCCTGTGCCAGTGTATAAAAACTTGGCAATTGATTTCTGACTGTGATATTTACAGATCATCTATGCCTGTAACTAATTGTAATTATCACTGTAATTGGGAGTGGGAAAAGTGCAGCCCCTTTTTGAACAAGCAAGAAAAGTATATGCTAGTATTCTCATTAGAAAGGTAAGTTCCAATATCTTTGTAGGGTGACAGTTCTAAACAGAGCTGAGCCACAACACAAAGGAAGTTCCTTGGTGGCAATGTAAAGGCTCCACCTCCTTCCTTGTATAACTGAAGAACACAAGATGCATTTTAACACAAATGTCATTTCATTTATTGGTTTGCTATGCTGCTGAAGAGAAAAATTCCAGGTAAACAGGAGGTGCAGTTTAAAATGCCTTCATCCAACAGATTTATCATTGCCACTGTCAGCAGAAGAACACTGAAGTCAGCTAAAGGGATCACTATGCAGCCAATAAAAAAAATAAATTTTATGACAATGTAGAAGCAAAACTCTCCCCTAACTTGAGGCTAGAGTGCTAGCAGTACAACAGTTACTTTTTACTGCAAGCAAAGCCAATGCAGCTGAACATGACTATGCTTTTTTAGGGTTTTTGTTGTTGTTGTTTTTTGGGGGGTTTTAAAATAAAAGGTCATTTAACCTCCAAAAAAAAGTTTTAATGACATTATAAAAGAAAATGTTTGTTTTCATTAAGATACAATGTTTGCACATACATTTTTGTCTATAAAAATTGCAGGTTTGAACCTTTAAGGTATGGTATTTTAAAAACTCAAAATGAAAATACATAATTAATAACCAGTTTGTAGAACTGATTTAAAAATTAAAAGTCTTAGGGAAATTTTCAATGTTATATAAAATCTGAAAGGCTTGAAAGGGATGCACTGGTTGCTGCTTAATATTCTGCCTTTAAAAAAAATGAAACAAATAAAAGCCCTCAAAGACTTTGTGAAATACTATACCAGGGCTTTACAATTTCATTAAAATACAATTTGTGGTCACATCATTAATTCTGGAAGTATAACACTGATTTTGACCATAAAGTGAGGGTAAGTAAACACGTTTTGGGGCTGGAAATAGAAAGCAGAAGACAACATGATCCTAAGCAGTTTTCATAAAAGAAAAAGTCCACTGCCTTTATAATACTGTTCTTAAGTAACTCCTGCTTAACCACTGATGAATAAAAATGCATGATGTAAATAAATAAAAATACATTAAGTTAAAATATTTTAATATAGTGGTTCAGTCTGCAGATTAGCTGTAAACACTCATGTTCTTACAGAACACGCACCCATTCTAGTTTCACATAATCTTGCTGGGGTTCTGAGAAATCAGTGTTCAAACCATGACTAGTGATGCAGGAAGGGTTAGCAGATTAAGTCCTGGAGGAAAGAGCTGCTCATATATGCAAGAATACAAATTATAGAAAAACTGTGCAAGCAAATGTTTCTGCATGCACATAATAGCTCTTCAGTTTATATGTAATTCCATTTCACAAAGTAGTCACCTAACATGAAAGAGTAAGACCACAAGTAAAAACTTACACACTTTTTTCAACAGCAAAGAGAAGAAGCAACCAACACACTCATTCATAAGTCTGGAAAAGTAAACCGGCAGTTCTCAGGACTGATCCTGCTTAATACATAATCCGTGATTTGGCCCTATATACTACTTACACTAATACTGTTATACCCTTTAGTTTTAGAAGAACACTTTTGTTAAATGAGAAAGAATAAAATCCTTAAAGGAATGTGTTTACTAATTGAACTGCTTATAACAAATACACTACAATAAAAGCATAAATTAACAAGAAAAAGAAACCTTATGCAACTTCTCATCATGGCAGGTACAGGTACAACAGCCGATACAAGATGTTCCCGTCTCAGTTTACTCAACAGGAGCTGTCACAGGCAACTGCACAAAATCTAAAAATGGAAAATCCCCATTAAATATGGCAATTACAAAATATATCCTCCATTCTTTCACTTGTCTTTTATAATAAATAAAAGCTTTTGCTTATCTAATACTGCACTATATTACCTTGGAGAGTCTAGTCCCACTACATCTAAGTTAAAATAAAACTGTTAACACACAACATAGTTACTCATGGTTCGTACTCAAGTGCAGTGTAATCAAGGTGCCTGGAAGAGCATTAGTTAAATTCAGTAACTCTTGCTACTTGCCCCCCTGACTAACTCCCCAGTGTCTTTCAGTGTGCCATGGTTTAACCCTAGCTGGCAATTAAGCACCACATAGCCACTCGCTCACTTCCCACCCCAAATCGGGACAGGGGAAAGAACTGGGAATAAAAAAGTAAAACTCATGGGTTGAGATAAAGACAGTTTAATAGGACAGAAAAGGAAAGGAAAATAAGAATAAAAATAATAATGGAATATACAAGACAAGTGATGCACAATGCAATTGCTCACCACCCGCTGATGGATGCCCAGCCGATTCCCGACCTGCAGTGCCCCCTGGCCAACTCCCCCCAGTTTATGTACTGTGCATGATGCTTTATTGCATGGAATAGCCCTCTGGCTCGTCCTGGCTGTGTCCCCTCCCAGCTTCTTGTGCACCCCAGCCTCCCCTGGCCAGGCACTATGAGAAGCTGAAAAGTCCTTGACTAAGTATAAACCCTGCTTAGCAACAACTAAAACATCTGTGTGTTATCAACATTCTCATCCTAAATTCAAAACACAGCACTGTACCAGCTACTAGGAAGAAAATTAACTTTATTCCAGTTGAAACCAGAACACAGTATAACATTGGTTCTATTGTTTGGGGTGAAAAAAATGTACATAACTTTGTATATCCACCTATGCAGAGAATACATTTCAGTTTGAGTAATAAATATTCCTGGACACTTTATAAAAAGACTCCATAAAACAGTAATCATTATATTTATTGACTTCTATTATACACCAAGGTTTTATTTATAGCTGTTAGCAGAACGAAGTCCTTCTTAAAAACCTGTGCCAGCAATGCCCATTTAAAATACACAGCAAATGTAAACATTCCATACCTATTACCCATCAGCAGACATTATTATTTACACAGCTATTCAGCTCGCATGTAGATAATCTTTTCCAGAAAACAGTTTCAGTGGATTGACTATTTATTGACTATTTGAGGTAAGTATGCTTACTGCCCCATTTCTTGACTTCCATGATTTCACGCATGCTAATTAAACAAACCCAAACTCAAACTTGGAGATTCCAAGATACCCTTACAAAAAACTATTTCCATCAACAATTTATAGTCACAAGAACAGACACTGCATTTCTCTCACCAGTGAATCTTGCAAAAAGAACCGGATTTGTTAACATTCACAGAGAGGACAAAAAGGTTATTTACAGGGTTAGGCTTTATTGGACGAAAAACCTAAATATCTTCATGTACTGCCTGACAGCTTCATTATAAAAACTCACAATCTGAGTACTCAAGACAATATAACAAGGCCCATAATACAGAATTTTACCTGTATCAAAAATTAGCCTCTACTAGTTTACATATGGACTTAAAAAGCAACATTAACAACACTAAGAAATCCTACATCTGGAATTTGCTATTAGAGCTGCCAGTGAAAACATTTCATTGCTAGCATTCAGCAAGTGAGCTTTTCTTTTACGAAGAAATCTAAAAAAACTCAAATTACTATTATTAATTTATCAATATTCATGCACTCATCTATATAAAAATAGAAAACTAAACGTACACAGAAGCAACAGGCTATGCTTGAGAAGGAAGTTCCCTTGACTATGTATGAAGTGAGGTAAAGCCTGAGGTAACAAATGGTGCTGAGGAAGGGATCCTATACATACACCCATCTGTCCTGGTTCGACCCCAGCAGTCCACTAAGCACCAGACAGCAACTCACTTCCCCCACAGCAGGATAGGGGAGAGAATCGGAAGAGTGAAAGTGAGAAAACTCATGGGCTAAAATAAAGACAGCTTAATACCTAAAGCAAAAGCTGAGCACACAAGCAAAGCAAACCAAGGAATTCATTCCCCACCCCCATCGGCAGGCGGGTGCTCAGCCATCTCCAGGACAGCAGGGCTCCATCACACCTAACAGTGACTCGGGAAGACAAACGCCACCACTCCAAACCTCCTCCTCCAAACATCCTCGCCTTTCTCCTCCTCCCCTCAGCTCTACGTGCTGAGCATGATGCCCCACGGTCTGGGATATCCCTGGGGCCGGCTGTCCTGGCTGTGCCCCCTCCCAGCCTCTTGCGCAGCCCCAGCCTCCTCGCTGGTGGGGCAGGGTGAGAGGCAGAAAAGGCCTTGACTCGGTGTGAGCCCTGCTCAGCAACAGCTAAAACATTCCTGTGTTACAAACACTATTTCCAGCACAAATCAAACCATAGCCCCATAATAGCTACTGTGAAGAAAATTAACTCGATCCCAGCCAAAACCAGCACACCATCTAAGCAGAAGATCTGCTTTGCAATATGGATTTAAGACATATCTGAAAACAGATGTTCCTCACAGATAAAGCAGACATGTTTTCACACATTTCTTGAAACAGGAGAGGACAGAAATCCCAACAAGCCCTAGAGAACGGTGGAAATGGATGCCTTGTGTCCCCAGAAAAGAGTTGGTGCTCAGCACATTTTCCTGAATTTGAAGTGACAGCAGAGCAAGCGCAAGGACCCACCTCAGCTCCCTGACTCACTCCCCACTGCCTCCCGCATCCCCTGAGGGCCACTGCCCTGGGACTCTTTGCAGGACCTGTGTCACTCCCCAGGGCCCAGCTCCCTCTAAGCCATCCTGGTGATCTCTTCTCTCAAACCCAGTGGTTTCCATATAATCACACACACTGTCTTTGTCCCCTAATAGCTTATCTTCCAACCTCCCTACCCTTCCCATGTCACCTTTCTCCAGGTTCCTGCCTGCATCTCAGCACCACTTCTAGAGCAAGGGAGACCTTCCACACACCTCTCAAACATCCACAAAACCCTTCACCAGGCAGACCTCAAACCCTGTTCCAAAATGGACTACCTCTATTGAGTCAAGTTGGGAACAGATCCAGTTCTATCCAAAAGGCCATCTGCCTGCAACAGGGAGGAAAAAAACCCGCTCAGTGCACCAAACCTTCAGTTACCACCACCCAACTGGAAACACAGCTAGCAGCGGTACACCTTCCTCAACAGCTCTACCTGACCACACAGGTCTTGTTAGTTATTAAATAGCCCTTATTAAAGAAAGATCGAGGAGAACAGGACTGCATGGCTAGGAGTCTGGCCTACACTCAGCAGGAGGTTTTCATGGACATTTTTCAAGCAGGCAGACCCAGAATGAAATTAATTGCCACATCACCTCCAGTCCTTGATTTCTCACTCCCAAGTTCTGAACAAAAGATAATCTGTTTCTCCCTGTAGTTTGCCCTCCTTGCCTCTACACTAGTTGGGAACTGCTATTACCTTGCACAAAAAGAGGTATAGCAAGAGACCAAAATTACTACTGATTATGGCTTTTCTCTCAAAAGGATGCAGATTTTCTGGATGTGAGGAGAATAACTACTATCTGCAAGCAAATCTAGGTTAACTTTGAGCTACCTTGTTCAGATCACCCTGTAGCATTCAGCTGTGACCCACCTCTCGCACAACCCCGGGGTGAATATTCAGACTCTTTAAAAAGCCTCCAGTCACTCTGCTGGGGATCACAAACCCACACAGGTGGACTGCCACAGCCACCTCAGCACTCCACTCCTGCTCACACAACTGGCCCCCACGAGGCTTCAGCATAAGCAAATCCACAACTGAGCTCCGGTCCTGATGGCAATGCGGGAGTACGAGTGTGTTTCTGCAAAGTACACGAGGGCAGGCACAGACCATCAGGAAAGACACATCATGACGTGGAACAAACCAGTTTCCAAGGTACATGTTTCACAGAGCGCTGGGGCAGCTATGTTGCTCATGAAGTGTATGGCCTGAGGGTATGGTTTCAGTTTGGCTCAAGCAGATTTAACACTGGGCTGCTAATAAAAACAAGATTGTTCATCTCCCGAACATAATCCATCTCTTTCCCCCCACTGTACCAACACACAAGTGCCTGCATGGCTAGAAATGAGTCAGATTAGCTTGCTGATCCAGTTTAAACCCTCTCCTCCTCAGGGCAGAAGGGTGCATTTTCCTTTGTATCAGTTTCGGTACTTACTCGAGCCTAGGGTGAGTCACTGCAGGCACCTAAATCAACAGAAAATTAGCACGACAAAAGAAGTTATTCTTCTGCTACCTCAAACTGGGTATTCATAAATAGACAGGCGTCAGTGCCACCAAAATGAGGGAACACACAGCTGGAGGAGGAGAGGGATGAAGCCATGCTGTAAATCAAACCTCTACTCAGCTATAGGAGAACCAAAATAATTGTAGACCAATACACAAAATGCCGTGACTTGGTCGTCACCAGTACACTGTGGGATCAGAGAAGTACACTGTGGTCTGGAGGATTAACCTTCTGCTCTCACTACTAATGATGTAACTTCTTACTTTTTTTGGAGCTCACCTTGGTTTCAAGTGCTGCAGCCTAAATACCTTTAAACTCTGGATGTCAGCTATTCAACATTCTTATAAATACAAAGGGGTTTAATTTATGTCCTTCACATCTCAATGCTACATTTGTAAAATGATATTCCTATTTCCTTAGGAGGCAGACAGAAGACATGTTATTAGGATTAATAAATTATGTACTTGTTAGACCCCAAGACACTATAATGGTAGGAATTACATGAACCGAAGAAGTCCTTTACCCTAAGGAGAGACCTTCTATTATATTAACTAAATCTTGAGACAAAGGAAATAGTTTTATTATCTAGAAAAGTTTGCAAAATGTTTTCTTTTCCTTTTAGTAGGCCCATTTACACCAAGGGGGAAAAAGAAATAAAAAATCACATTTAGTGGTGGCAGACAACAGGGAGACAAAC